CCGTTCTTGCCGATCTTCAGATGTGCCACGAAGGGAACAACTTCCAAGGGAATAGAGAAGTCTGCGATGAGTGCCGGGAATGGTTTATCATGACCCGAGCTTGTTTCGTTCACGATGTGCAACTTATGCATATAAGTAGGCGCAGAGTCAAGGGTGTACTATGATTGTTTCCATGGGAGAACGATTTGTCAGATGCCGTGTTTGACGTCACCTACATCTTATATTGAATTATTCTTCTCCAGAAGAGCTCCGAAATAGGCTAATCTTATTTCGATCAAGAAACGCGAAACCTGAGACAATATGAATATGATTCCTAGATTAAACCTTCCCGAGAGCCACATCCACTAATTCTGGATTGAATTTGTGGAGAACGGAAGAAGCACAAATTCCAGAGAATCCTCTTCACGATCCGCGGAACTACCCATCCACGAATAAAATCCAAAACCAATGTAAATCAATGATGACACATAGGCCCGCCTAAAGGTTTCCAGAGGCCCGGGACAAAACTAAACCAGAGGCCACTGTATGGATGGGGATGGCTGAATGGGCCCTTTTGGGACCTTGGCATAGGGTCTTATTGGAGGCTCCCTTGGGGCCCTTTGAAACGCGAGGCCAGTGCCAGATGGATGCCCCCCTCTGAATGGCCCCGATGAGACAATGATGACCAGAAGACAGCGCTGGAATGTTTCCTCTGCTCCACTACCAGCAGGAGCTCTTGCCCATTCTTAATGTCTTACTTCTTTTCAATTATTGCTTATAGCATTACTTTGGCCCAACAAATTAGGATGAAAATGTGAGAATCACTTGGAAATGTAATCATATATGCATTGCGGAAGTTTTGCAAGAAAAAAGCTCCATTGTGAGCGGAGATTTAGGTTAAAAGTCGTTGACCTTCCTTTTTAGCCATAGGCCTACCCTGCATATTTCAACACTGCGTGGTGGCTCCGCCTTTTGCTTATCACCTCTCGTGGCTTCGACTGTCGTAGGTGGTCTTGCCATTCGGTGTTCATTGTGAGACCATTATTACGATGCAAGCTGAGGCCTTTCGTTAATTCAAAGGTTCTACTTTGTTCCAAAGATATTGGACCTAAGTCTTGTAAGCCAGTAAGACTGCAAAATCTTAAGTAGTAGGTTGGCCTTCTCACACCCACCCAACTCCATCCAAATTCCAAGAGAGGTCGTATATAAGATTAGCATCTGGCACTGTTCAGCTTAATTTCTAGGAAATGAGGCATCGGATCTCCTCGTATACTCGTATATACTACTAGCAAGTTTGTTTGCCCTTCGGGCAAACAAACTCGCTGTGGTCGCGCCTTCGGCGATCCATTACCTTGGATAGCGATAAATTCATTTATTCTTTGCGAAATGGCAAACATGTATTTCAAGTACGTCCCATTGGAATTCGTGACATATGGGGACGAAATTCTTCATTTTTATCAAAATCATTACTTGTATTCATGGGCGTCCGCTCCCAGGGGCAAGGGGGGGCACTTGCCCCCCCCTGGAAATCGGGCATGGCAATTTACTGGTAGTACTATACAAGAAATTTATTGTACTTCATGTGGAAATCTCTTCTTCCGTAGCACCATTTAGACCAATCTTGCCACGCAATATGAAACATCCAAACGAGTTAAAAATTCAACTCGACCCATCTGGTCCAGAGGTTCCGGTAACACTACTGCTCTACATAACATCGCGCCAAAGCTGAAGATCGTACAACATGGAATGCAAGTATCCCAGGCTGAATGGCTATTTCACGTAATTTTTGCAGTTACATTGTTATTTTTTTTATAACCAAGGAGCCTGTGTTGTTTCTCTTCGAGTAGAAGACCCTCCCAGCAAACAAGGCTATGTTGTACCAATGTTACAAACGTTGATTCAGCGTTATGTGTTTCAAATTGTTTGCTGGGCTGTCTCATTGTCTGACATAAGAGTTGCATAATAGGTCTACAGGTAAGGGCTACTTTGAGGCCCACAATTTCTGTCGTTGTTTTTAACACATTGGTGACGGGCCCCGAGAAATCTCGTAGTACGCTACGGCCCCGGGGCCGGTCACCAACCGTTCGCGAGCGTACTACGAGATTTCTCGGGGCCCGTCACCAATGTGTTAAGGCGAAACATTTTCCCTTTGATTGCAGTTATGAAGAAAAAAAATGAAGAATTGGTAATGAAAACTGTATGGTTTTTGGCCTTAAAAACAACGGCAGAAATTGTGAGGTGGGATCCGAGTAAAAACGTGTGGTATGCTTTTAAAAAAGTATATGAGCTTTGAAATTGCTCTCATCTTTTGCTCAAGTAAATGGCAGACATTCTGCAAATCTTTCAATTTTGTTGAGCTGCATAGAAAATGGCACCATACAATTGAAAACTGGTTTTTTGCGAAATTTGTGATTTTGAACATTTCGAGCCATCACATCTTCTTAAACGGAATTTGTTGGGACAAAAATGGGATACACNATCTTCTTTTTTTAAACATCGCCCCTCGTGAACTTTTCCCCGGGGATGTATCAAGACTTAACATTTTCTTTAACTCCTCGTCTCAGTAGCCAAATTCATGCAAAGTTTCAGCTTTCCATGTCCATCGGTTTAACTAATGCAAAAGAATTGTGTGAAAACATCTCCCTTTGAAATTCATGCCCCCAGGGGCATTTCATTCCAAAGTTTGAATTTTTCTGCAGGCAGCATCCCGGTAGGTAATTATGTACCAAGTTTCATCTTTCCACACTAGCTCAATACACGACAAAAAAAATACTTGAAATCGTTGGCCCCCAAAAAATATGCCCCCAGGGGCATGGATGTAAAATTTGGCATTTTTCCTGAACTCATCGTGTCGGTAGGCACGTCCATTCCACGTTTCAGCTTTCCATGTCTCTCTGTTTTATTTAAGCAACGGGACATGTAAGGCAAGAGAAGCCAAAAAAATGGCAAGTAATAGCCGGGAATTGAACCCTGGTCTCACGATTACCGGTCCGATGTGCTATCACTACACCACCGAAACGAAGACGCAAAGCAGTAGCTTTCAATGACATCATTATCCATCACGATGTATATTTAAAAAAAAACTTCTACCCCCAAAATGTGTACCCCCGGGGCATGTACCTCCAAAGTCGGATTTTTTCTGAACTCTGCACCCCAAAAGGTGCATGAGTACCAAGTTTCAGATTTCTAACCTTTCTGGAACATGGTTAGAATTAGGGTCAGTCAGTCAGTCAGTTACGATCGTCTATATACAGTATATTAGATGAAAGTAGAATTGTTTCTTTACAAGTTTCAGATTTCTAACCTTTCTAGAACATGGTTAGAATTAGCGTCAGTCAGTCAGTCAGTCACGATCGTCTATATTACAGTATATTAGATGTGTGAATGCAGGTCCGAGCGATTCGTTTCTTGGAATTTATTTTTGGGTATGCGACCAAATATCGCACTAAATCTCTGTTTTCGGACGCATACAAAAGCACTGATAATAATATTTGATCAAATATTTTGAAACCATTAACCTCTTCAGACCCGACAGCAAAGTTGCATGTCAATTTTGAAATCCTTCGGCTCCGTCTCCGATGGGCAAAGCAAGGAAGCCAATATTTTTTATCCTTGGTATTGTAGAAATAGAGTAGGTAATGAAGCGGGAGGCACTGCTTGCGAATATGTACTCGAAACAATCATGTGCAGTGGCCCCTCTCACCCATCCCCCCCCTCCCCGGATCCACCACTGTCCATGTCTTCGTCTTCTTTCTGGTCTTCGTCGTTTTCGTCAACCTGGTGCTGTAAGGGCTGGAACACATCTCAGGTAAATCAGTGCCACTGTATCCTAACCGATCAAGGAGTTCCATGTAATTGGATCCTGAAACACAAATTTACTGGCGCAACAGCCTATAATTCAAAAGGGTTCTCATCGGGAATATGAGCTTGTTTATGGCCTGGACTCCATGAATCTGCCTTGAATAGGGTGAGTGCTGCGAATGTCGGCACTGCGGGTAATCTCGGCACTTTGCAATCGTCAAACTTCTGATTTCACTACCAGTCCCCTAGGCATGGGTAGACACGTATTCTCAGATGGTGGTACTATTGTTGTTAACATGTGCTAGGAACAGCAATATTTGCTGTTGTAGTTTTCTCGCAGTAGCTGCCTTCTCTTATCGCACTCCGAAAATCCGACGAAATCTTGCGATTTTGCTAAGAGTTTGCACATTATTGTCTTCTCGTCCACACTAGGTATTATTTTATTAGGTCGTTGCATTCATTTTTGAGTCCTTTGTAAACGACAGTGATACATAGGTGTGCCGAGATTCCCGGCACGATGGTGTCGACTATACTATAGATAGTAAATGTGCCGAGATTGCCAACATCTGACCGAATTTCACATTTGACTCAGACCCTCGGAAAGGGAAGGCCCGGGGCACTCGAGGTGTATGGTACAAGGAGGTTTATAATAAAGGTATGACCAAATCCAATGTGAACGAGGAGGCTCCATTACAAAAACCACCAGGCCGGGTGAAAGTGAAAAATTTGCTTAGAGTGCCGACATTCGCAGCACTCACCCTATGTGGATAACAAATGAAGAAGTGTCTGCGTTTATTGATTCCTATAATGAGACTAGGCGAGACATATGGCGAGGTGCTAAAAAATCCTGCAAGGGACGATACCAGGGAAAGAGAGAAGGGAAATTTTGTGTACTGTGCGAAAAGCGAGACACACCTGCATCTAGTGGCCTGGCGGAGAACTTTAAGGTGTTGAAGTTCTCCATCAGTTCTGCAATTCTTCTCAACGTGGGGATATGACCACGTTGGGCCCACATTGGACCAACATCGTTCCCCATCATTCACGTTCCGCCAACCTTTCCCACCTTTATCCAACGTTGGCCCAACGTAACGATTATCTGGAATTCAATTATCTATGGATAGTATTTCTCAATGCTTTTCGCAGTAATCACTCTCAGTATGTAATTTGAGCTTTCTATACTGATCAACTTCAGACTAGCTAACAATTAGCAGCTTCAGTAATTTGTTGAACAATCAGGTTTTACTATCTGCATTTCATGTGATGATCAACCTGAGATATCAAAATATGCTGTCCCCACATGGATTCCCCCATTGTATTCCTCGACATATGTCTGGATGTGAAGATCCTCTCCAGCCATTCTGACTGGGCAGATGGAATTGGGTCTTGTGATAAAGCATACTGTCAGCAGGGCCATCTCCAGTTCAGGACTTGCCCCAATGTAGAGGCTGCTGATGGGCTTTCGCTTGCCATCCCATTTAAAGGTATGTTCCAGGTGGACCCCCTAAAGAGATATTTTCCAATCCATTGAGAAGTGCTGAAGTAACTGAATATCAGGTGAATGAATTTAACAGACCTTGTCGCCGAGGTCCCTATAGGTCAAGTACCCGAAATAGTCAACGCGTTGTTCTAGTTCTTGTAGGAAGAACCAGACCCATCCATGAAACCCAGTGACTGCAGCTATCTGCAATTCACCCATGAAGACATGTTCAAATCCACTGGAACCTGGACTGGGCCCATCCCTTGGGTACATGTCAAACCACATTTCCCTCAACCTTTCCTTGAACGCCACTTCATCATCCTGTATCTCCCCTAGACATCAATAATCAACTCAGTCATCAGCTGACTTCATTTTGTACTTTCTATCGATCAACTGATAAACTCACCCTTGTCCAGGAGGAATTGATATGCAGTTTGCATTATGGGAGTATCAATAATGGTGTCAAGGAAGGCACTTGTCTCCTCTTCCTCTTCAGGTGTGACTTCCTCTGGATAAGTTGTATTAGGTTCATAATTGTCAAACAGGGCCATCATCTTTGCTATGCTCTCAATGGAAGTAACCTCCTCGGGTAATTCTCCCGCAAAGAGACTAGCAGAATGGTGTCACCTATGTATTCCCTTTGCCATGAAATGGGTAAACTATAGGGCATCGGTACTTACGGTTCAGGTGCTTCGTCTCCTCCGTTCGGGGAGGATTGACCTTGAAGGTCAAATGTAAGAAGTCCTCTCACGTTATTCTCCATTTCCAGCAGGGCTTCAGCCAAGGTCCGCAAGTCATCATCCGTCACCAATCCTTTATGAAGTATTGAGGAAATCAGGAATTACCGACACGACGGTTCATGTGATACGAGTTAAATAATTATTGAGTATTGTCGTACGGGAGGATTCATCGCAATATTGATCAAAATCCTGGCAACAGTTGCCTTTCTGGGAGCATACATCATTGCATTGACAGGGGAAGAGATTGTTATAATCGGTCCCACATCGATCCAAGCAGCTGAGACAAACTTCTTCATAATCTTCGCAACAATCCCCGAAGTTCACGCATAGATTATTGCATTGACACGGCCAGACTGGATTATTCCCGACCGTATCGCAACGTCCGGCGCACGAAGGCAGATTCCCACTCTGCCTGGGGCCTAAAGAGAGAACCAGGCACAGTGTGAAACTAGAGTACCAGACCAGCAGCACAACTGCCATTCCACTGGCCACCATACCACTGTTCACCTTAGACACCACGGGTCATATTTTCAAAGGGTTACTAACTTTGGTAGTGACTAGCGTTTAGTAGCAACTAGCTAGTAGCTACTAAAAAAAATGGCATTTTCAAAGACCCACTAACTTCTGACTTGTTAATAGCTACTAACTTAGTAGCATCTGGGCAAGGAATAGATTTGGCAACACTGCGAGCGAAATTTTCAAGCGTCAGCCTCCATGGTGGAGAATGGTATCTTTTCGAAGTAGATTTTTTCATATGTCCAATGTTTGCTAATGAGTGAATAAAGGAATAAGTATGACTCATTTCAAGGTTCGAATAAATACGTCAAAAGGCATATTTTTCCTTCATAACACCTTGTGCCAGGTTCGACCAATCATTTCTTTGCAATTAGGGAATAACGGGATAATTTGAGTGTTACTAAAAGTCCAAATCGGGAAACTGGTGCGTTGAAGAGGAGCTCTTTCGGTCTTTGTGCATTGCGCCCTTTTCTGTCATAGGAAATAGACATTCAAGCCAATGCAAGGAAAATGATGGCTTCGAGAAAGTTTTGCAAAGATATCATCATCGTTTTGGCTAGAAGAAAGACATGAATCGCCACACAAGGAGCAATAACGAATGAATGAAAGGTGATGCAAAGGGAAAGGTTTCGAAGTACAGGAAAGAATTCAAGAAAACTGGTGGTGGGTCTCCACCTCAACCACCATCAGAGGATACTAACAAGGGACACTACCGAAGTGATAATTTCAGATTTTCACCAAACTTTGGTCATTGAAAGGACTCTCAAAACGAAGTCAAATGGCACCAAAACTTGCGGCTGAGATGCCGATATAGGGCGCTGATGTCAACAGCAGCGCCACCTATCTACTTGCTAAGTCGTTTTTTAGGCATAGGAAAAAATCCGTTCAGGGCTATAAATCTCTATGCCAAATATCAGTTCTTTCAAAAGATATGGTCAAACAAAGTTGGATTTTGACTTGTAAAAATTTAACTTGGTTTGGTCATATCTTTTAAAGAAATAGTCAGATACAGATGATTCTTGACAGAGATATTCTTGTGTCTATGACCTATTCGTTCCCTTGCCCAACACATACTTGTACACATTGACAGAAGGTGCAGTGATTGCATATGCGAAGGTGAAATGTGAAGGAGTATGATGGCTCTGCTTACAGAGTTCTATGTTGGTAATACGTCATAACAGCACATCAACGTGAGACGTTAGAGCACTGAGAGTTTCATCATCTCTTGGTGGGAGTGATGTGAATGCAAGACGTATTCCTGTTTTTGTAGCCAATTCCTAATCGCCATCTCTTACCTTTGCTTATGCTACCACAGCGCCACCTATCAACATGTAGAACCATGTGCCGGGTAAGGAAACGAATAAGTCATGGACCCTTGAACATCTCTGTAAAGCATCAACTGCATCTGACGATTCCTTAAAAAGTTGACCAAACAAAATTCGATTGTTACATGTTACCATTCAACTTTGATTAACCATATCTTTTGAAAGAACTCTCGGATGCAGCTGATATTTAGCATAGAGATTTATAGGCCTGAACGGATTTTTTCCCATGCCTAAAAAAATGACTTAGCAAGTAGATAGGTGGCGCTGCTGTCGACATCAGCGCCCTCTATCGACATGCAGCGACATCTTGCAGCAAGGAAAAAAAACCTTCTTGGCTCATGTACCTCTCTGTCAAGTATCGCCAGAAAATGACTTTCCCTTGAAAAGTTATAGCCAATGAAAATAGGACGGTGACTCTAATAATCCTGCCTCACTGAAAATTAAGGTACAAATTAATGGTACAAATATATTTTTTCTTGGCCTGTATTGATTTGATGGCTCAAGTTTTTCTGTATCAATCGCATGCGAGACGTCCATAACTGCCAGACTGAGAATTAGTAGCCTTTGAAACAACCCTCCAACACCTACTAAAATTGTATTACGTTTAGCAGCTATTTAGTAGCTACTAACGCTTAGTATCTCTTTGAAAATACCATTTTAGTCACGACTAGAGATAGTAGAGACTTAGTACGACTAGAGATAGTAGACCCTTTGAAAATATGACCCCACTTAACGAACAGTTGATACTACTCAAATATCAATGAAGTTTTATTGATTCTGTAGATAAGGGGATTAGAGGTCTATTTTAAATACACAAAAGGATGCAAATGCGGACAGATGGAATGAAGGAAAAAGTCGTATGAGTGTCGTGAATGATCTAGGTCAGGGGCGTCAAATTACGGCCCGCGGAGGTGGTTCATTCGGCCCACCGTCTGTTCTTGAAATTTTCGCCTGAATTGACTCAGCACACTCCGCGCACGAGCCTATGGGTGCGACCCGCAGGCATCTGCAGGGCAAGGAATGCGACCCGTCGACTAATTTGAGCTTGACACCCCTGATCCATATATTGACTGGCATTAAATTATTGTATTCTGATATTGCAATGATGGATATTTGGAGATGGGAGAAGATTGCACCATGTAGGATGCAGGATGCGGCATTCTACAGGGTGTCCGGCTCGAAGTTAGCCCGACAAATCATTCCGTCTTCTTTCCTGTTATCTTCCGCCATAGTTGCGTTATTTCGTTGTGGCACCGCAGGAAATGCTTGAAGACTCATGGGGTCATGACTCATGTGGCGGCAGGCTGATAGGGGTTAGTCCAGCTGTGAAAGCTTCCATAACGGTACACGTATGTGTTTCTCGAAGAGCAGTAACCAGTCAGTGTTGTGAGCAATGCGGTTTTCATTACAGCAGCGGATATTTGTTGTTGATGGTCACGTTGAAAGCGAATCTTACAAGATTTGTTGTAAAAATTTCGTGAAGTATCCCGATGTGAAAGTGCCAGCAAAACGTGCCAAACAGAATAGCTAAGTGGCGGGAAACAGGTTCCGTACGGGATGAGACACTAACTCGCGTTCGAACTGTGCGGAATGAGGAAACTGGTGATAACATGCGAACACGAATTGAGGACGGCCCCCTTCGGTCAATACGTCGATTGTCTCAACAGGGTTTCAAGGATGACATGCCAAATAATTTTGAAAGGCTTACGAATGACCGTCCACAATATCACTGTTGAAGTTCCCTCATTCCGCACGAGTCTTTAAGAATTTCCTGCGGTACCACCACTAACTATTGCAATTATGGCGAAAGACGGTCTCCGACAGCAAACAAGACGGAAAGACTCGCCAGGTTATTTTCAAGTGGGACACCCTGTATGAGTTTGCTCAGCTACACTGTCTACGCTGCCACGTGCAACGCCGATCTCTCCGTTTGTCAACAATGCAAATTATCTGTGAGTGAACCAGCAGTTATAGTCGGTGACTGACACCGACCCAGACTGAAAGCATTGCATCGAGAACAAAGCTTCAGTAGGAACTACCGCAGATGGAATGAAAAAAATGTTGACAAACCGATTGCAATATTTTGCCATTTTTTCATGTCACTATAGGAATGACATAATGAGTTGATCTCAGTGGGGGGGGGGACACGATGAGGAGGGAAGTGTATTCTCTCAGGAGAAGAGGAAGCCTTATTCATTCCTAAAGTAACGTCTAATCCGAAATTTCGTCGCGTGACATCAATTAATTCCAATAAAATAACATTAATATAAAAATAAGTGCCTGACTGTCCCAATGGATTTGGCTTAACCAATAACATTTGATTTGTGGTGTAACAGTACAAGACCAGAACATCTATCAAACGGTCTGTCACAACATGTAACATATATCCATCCATCCAAAAAGATAAAAGAAAGCAACCGTGAAGGAACGGACCCAAATACGAAAGAGAGACGTGAAGGAGAGAGAGGAGTACGAAGAGAGGGAAGCGGAAAATCCCCATTGCGACGACTGAGACTCCGCTTCGGAGGTCTGAACTGCATCTCATGTGGAGGATGTGCGTAGGATAGGTGCGTAGGTTCGTCCGTTTCCACACCTGACTGGATTCCCATCCTTTTCTACATGCCAAGCCCTCGCATAAACTGCAGTAGAAATTCTAGCTGCTGCTTCACACCCAATCACTGGAAACTGTTATCTTCTTCCTATCCTGATGACGAAGATGGAGGTTTTGTGCCAACCAAGCAAAGTGATTACCGGGACTTCGTCAAAATTCAGGATGCATGCGAAAAGAAAGGAAATGCTCGCTTTGTCCTAAGAAATTATCAGGCAGAGTTGTTAGATGGGGTCAAGAGATCTGCTGGCCCGACAGCAGAGGTGCCCAACCAGGCGAATAGTCGCCATTTCACTCCTGTCGTTGGGAGAGTACTGCCACCACCCCTCCGCGTTCGAGATCATCAAGGATGATAAAATACATTGATACTTTCCCATTCTCAGTGCAATGCTGACGATGCAAAAAATCGAGATAAGGAACATCGATGTTAAATAATTACGGATTTCCATCAAGAGTCCAAGGTGAAACTATGTACATGTTTGGTCGCTACAACCAGGATTAGAAAGCGCGAAGTGCGTTTCTGTACAGCATGAGTCAAATGTCTGGCAATAGTATATTTGCTCATTATTATAATTATTTGCTTATCTTAAGAAATTATATTTATGTTCGCAGTGATATGAAACTGACTAAGGATAAGTGGTTACACCATTTGGAACTGTGAATCATAGGGAATGGCGGCTACATAGAGCACCTGCAACATTCCCCCTTGATTCTAAATATTTGACTCATACTGTATTTCCCTTTGCCATTTACTGTCAGCGAATTCCCTGACAGTCAATTTCCAGCTAGTCAGTTCTTGTACAGCATACTTCCCAATTGATAAGTTCCCCAACGTTACAAATCCGCGATCTTGCGGTCTTGTACAAATTCTCCTTCCAGGCTTTTTATGGTGCCATGGTCGATCGAGATGGTCCTCATCAGACAATGAAGCGAGAAATCGTTGTAAGACCGAGAAGTACCTAGAGGTTATAAGAGTGAAGAGCGAAAAAACGAAATATTTCAAGAACAGGTTTCATCTAGGTAAATTGATGTTACCTGATTCCGTT